CCTGAAGAAGGGTCTCGGCCCGAAACGTCAGCTTTCCTGCTCCTCTGATGCTGCTTGGCCTGCTGTGTTCATCCAGCTCTACACCTTTTTATCTCAGAAATCTCCAGCATCTGCAGTTCCTACTATCTCATGATCAGAGATTGTTGTTTTATAGCACAGATTCCAGACCACAGAAGACTGTACCTTTAAGATAGTTACATGATATTGCAACTTATAATGTTCAAGTCTCACCTTCTGTCACTGTCTTTATGTAATGGAGTCAATACAATCAGTCAGCTATGCGTGTAACATGGGTATGCACTGTGTGATATTGTATCAGTGTAAATAGTTAGTGTTGTAAACAAACTTCAAGATACCTGACAAAATATGAACCCAGTCTTCATGGCATTTGTTACACAGGCAAACATATAGCAAACCACAAAGTACCTCAGTGACCATGTAGCTGTACTTATTACCGATAGAACTTTGTCAAATGTATTACAGAGAAAGTTTAAGACAGTAATATGTACAGTCTCTGAAGTGTTCGCATAATCATGTACAAGCTGTATTATCCAACTGTGTCACTGTATTTATGAAAAGATAGAAATTTATTAGAAATGGTTTAATAAATCATAAATGGATCAAGAAGACTAAAGTTTTGACTGCAATCTTGTGATATGGCCCCTCATCCACCAAACATCCAAACATCGACAAAGATCTGGACTCAAGCAGTGAGGTGCAAATAACTGCCCTTGATAACAGGGCAGCAGTTAACCAAGTGTCGTATCAAGGAGCCCCAGAAAGACTAGAGTCAATGAAAATGAGGGGATAGGCTTTCTACTGGTTGGAGTCATACCTGAAACAAAGAAAGGCAGTTGTGGTTAATAGAGGTCCATCATCTCAGCTCTAAGACATCTGCAGGAGGTCCTCAGGGTCATCAAGGTCAGAAATGGAGATGTTCAGTGCCATTCACAACTCCTTATATTCTGAAGCAGTTCATGGCCAAAAACAACAAGAATTGAACAATATCCACATTTAGGCTGACGAGTGGCAAATAATGTTCACACCACATAAATGCCGGGCAATAACCATCTCCAGCAAGAGAGAATCTAAACATTGTCCCTTGACATTCAATGACATTAACATCACTGAATCCCCCACTTTCAATATCCTGGTGGTTACCATTGAACAGAAACTGAACTGGAATGGTCATATAATTACTGTGGCTACAAGAGCAGGTCAGAAGTGAGGAATCCTGTAAAATGTCACCTCTTGACTCCCCACATTCTGCCTACCATCAACAAGGCTTAAGTCAGAATGTGATGGAATGCTGCCCACTTGCCTAGATGAGTGCAACTCCAATAACACTCAAGAGTATATGTCAAGAAACTTGACACCATCCACGCAAAACTGCCCACTTGATTGACACCCTTTCTGCAAACATCAACGCTTCATAGCAGCACTGCAAAAATTCACCAAAGATCCTTAGACAGCACTTCCATCTAGAGGGCAGCAGATACATGGGTATACTAAGTTCCCCTCGCAGCTTTACACCATCCTGACCTGGATATATATCACTGTTCCTTCACTGTCGCTGGATCAAAATCCTGGAATTCCCTCCCTAATGGCATGGGCTGATTCAAAAGGGCAGCTCACCACCACCTTCTCAAGGACAATTAGGACTGAGCAATAAATGTTTGCTTGCTCCCCACAATTTTATGACCTTAAATAGAAATTCATGTTTGCAACAGAAGCTTGTTTTTATATTGTGCCTCTAGCGCATTAGAACATCCCAAAGAATATAATTAGACACAAATTGCCAATGTACCAAGGGAGTGAGATTAGATGGGTGACTAAATATTCAGTCAAATAGGTACCTTTTAAACTTTGCTTTCAAAAAAAAAGAGAAGTGGAGAGGAGAAGAAGTTTTGAAAGTGATTGCAAAATTTAGGGCCTCAGTCGATAAAGGCATGATATCAGAATGAAATCAGGGATGGAGGACAGTGTTGAAAGAATGTAAGATTTTGGTATGTTGCAGAACTTTAGTGGGTTACAGGAATAGGGAAGAAATGAGGCCACAATGGGATTTGAACACATGGATGGGAATTTTAAGATTGTCATTTTGGTAGATCAGGAGTCAATGTGAGTCAATGAGCCCAGAGATGAAAGGTGAATAGAATCTGAATACGGAGAGCACGAACATGGTTTTCTATGCTGGAAGCCGGCATTCATAAATATTGCTCAGTTTTATTGAATAGTGAAGTGACACTAAGGAACTCAACTCATATTCGGGATAAAGGAAATTGGTAGTTTTCTTCTTCCACACTTTCTTTTAAACAGGAAACCCATTGCAGAGTCAGATGACATAAAATTTGAAAGCTGGTAATTATATTATAAAATTATTTTGAAAAGCAGTACCAGAAGGAAAATCAATAAGTTTATCCACATATCTTTCTCCTAACCTTCTTAACTACTTGTTGTATTTATTTGCAGCTGTGCTCTGAGTTTAGAAATACAATTGGAAAGCTAGAAACTTTCATCCAGACACTGAATAGTGAGTACATGCAAAGAATGATCAATAGATTGTGATTAGATTACTTCCATACATTTTACATTTGTATTATTTTGTTTTCAGCTTCATGGCAACTGGACAAGTACGTGGAATTTGACTACTCCTTAGTTGGAGAACTAGAAATTACAAATAACTCCATTGATCTTCCTATTAAGGTAGGGTTGGCGCATCTGATAAAACAGTAAAACTCTAATCCATTGAGCGAGAAGTAATTTTCCTGTCCCTGCTTCAGTTTCCCTGGATTTACATTTCCAAACATAATGGCAATTATTTTACAATGTGTCTTTCTGTCAAACTTCTAGGTCATCTAAAAAAGCTTTGATTAAGTTAACTCCAGAGGCCTAACCTGGCCAAAATCAAATTCTCCTTTACATACTGTTCAACCTTTTTCTTTGAGTTGTAGTTAGCTTTAAAAAAGGGAACAAACAGCCATACATAAAGTTTAGCACATTAGTCATTCAGGAAAAAAAATTCTCATTCCAAAAGTAGCAGAAAATCTCTGTTCTGCAATGTGTCTCCTCCACACATTTTGTTACTATTGGTTCTAAATTGCAGAAGATGGCAGTTCTCTATAAATAAAGAATATTAAGCTGTTGTATTAGTGACCCCATCTCCTTCCATTCTATCACACTCGCCCCTCATCTTAATCATCTTTACCCCCCCACCTCACTTTACCTTCTATCCTTGCTCTCTTTGCATCTTCTTCCACTTCCCTTTCAACCCAATTTTCTTTGATCTACTAGAGTCCCACTTAACCCTGTCTTTCTCATTCTTCTTTCCAAGTCCCAATCCATTGCCTTCACCCATCTACCCTTCACCTAATCTCTAATCTAACAACCTGAAAACCGTATTCATAAACTCTCCTCGAGAATACTGTTGCTGTGGTTGACTTCTGCTGAAATTTGTTATTCACGAAACTGTCAAGTTCCTGTAAATGCTGTAATAATTCCAGCTGCACCTAATGCTTAGAAACGGTTTGAGGAACTTCCTTTGTATGTGGTTTTCCAATACACACACAGATGTTCTTGACTTCCCCCATGCCACAGCTATTGTATTCAACAGCCCCATTGTGAATCCACCTGGTATTTTTTTAATTAAGTTAGTACAACTATCTGTTCTTCAAAATGTCAATATATGTTGCTATAAATTACATTGAATAATATGAAATGGCTCCATGTTAACTTGTGAAATATTTTGGCATGTCAAGCTACAACCACCATTTTCTGTGTGAACTCAATTATTTGGCACATGCCATCCTGCTCTGTCATTGAGTTTATGATCAATCAGTTCTGATATTACTGAGGATCTTCTGTGATGTCCTTTAGGGTGAATTATATGATGTTCAAGACCATGTGGAGTCCCCATTTACTGCTCAATCATTTAAGCTTCCAAATACCACTGATCAAATGCTGATGCTGGGTCTGTCGGAGTATTTTGTTAACACGGGAGGATTTGCGTATTTTTCAGCTGGAGCTTTGCATTTTAACATCACAGATAATATGGTAAGTGAGTTCTTCTTTTAAAGTACACTAATTAGAAAGAAAACCTACTGTGACTAATATCCATCCTTCCCCACACACCAGGAAGTAGAAGTTACTGTCCTTCACCATGCCCTGGTTATCGAACTGTACTGACCATTTTGGATGCATTTTGCCAATTCTCGATGAAGCTGTCATTTAGAACTTTTTTTTAAGAGGACTGGCAATTGTTTAACAAATATCCCTTCATGTTTGTCTGAATCTTGCAGCGATAACATGGAAATTTGTGCCCCCAGTTTGAGGAAATAAGAGCAAAGGGGTCCTTTAACTGAAACGTAAGATCAAGGAGAAATAGGTGCAAATGATAGCTGTCAAGTTGATAGCACACAAGTGGGAACCAGATTGAATTCAGAGGGAAGGTTGAAACAAGAGAAGCAAGAAAAGTACATTAAAGTAACAGCAGACATAAAAAGAATTCCAAAAGACTTCTATAGGCATATAAGTTGTAAAAGCAGAATAGAGCTACTTATGGACCAACAAGGAGATTTACATATGGATGTAAACTTCCTGGCTAAGGTATTATATGAGTATGTTGTATCTGTCGTTACCAACGAAGAGGACATGAAACTTGTCATGAAGTGGGGAGTAATTGAGGCAGTGAATGAACTAAAAATTGACGAAACAGAAGCATTTAAAAGGCATAAACTAAAAGAACTGCGGATGCTGGAAATCTGAAAAAAAATCAGAAAATTGCTGAAAAATCTCATCAGGTTTGGCAACATCTGTGAAGAAAAATCAGATTTAACGTTTCAGTTCCAGTGACCTTTCTGCAGAACTGATGTTAGCTGGGAAAAGGATAGTTTTTATACAGTCAATGGGGTGGGGTGTGGGGGTTGGGGGTTGGGGGTTGATGATGATAGAGCCCAAAGGAAAAGAAAAACAGTTGAACATACAAAGACCAGCCTAGGAGAATGAAGAGCTACTAATGGGGACTATTGAGATAGCAAGAACTGCAGATGCTGGAGTCGGCAATAACAAAGTGTGGAGCTGGAGGAACGCAGCAGGACAGGCAGCGTCAGAGGAAGAGGAAAGCTGACGTTTCGGGTGGGGACTATTAGTAGCTGACAATGGGTAGTGTGTAATAGCAGCCCATGTGATGACGAGACCTGGTAAGTGGGCATGAGGAAAAACACGGGGAAAGGTGCACAAGCCCTAAAATGATTGAACTTGATAGTACATCCAGAAGGCTGCAGGGTCCTCAAGTGGCAAATAAGGTGCTGTTCTTCCAGTTGGCGTTGAGCTTCGCTAGAGCATTGTAGCAAGCCTGAGACAGAGGTATTGGCCAGGGAACACGGTGATGTGTTGAAGTGGCAACCAACTGGAAGCTCAAGGTCACTTTTGTAGACAGAACGTAGGTGGTCTGTGAAGCAATGGTCTGTGGTCTGTGCTTCGTTTCCCCAAGGTAGAGGAGACCACATTGTAAGCAGTGAATACAGTAGACTAGATTGTGGGAAGTGCAGGTAAATCACAGCTTCCCCTGGAAAGTGTGTCTGGGATCTTGGATAGTGAGGAGGGAAGAAGTAAATGTTACACCTTCTGCATATGCATGGGATAGTGCCATGGGACTGTGGGGATGTGTTGGGAGTAAAGAAGGAGTGGACCAGGGATATCCCAGAGGGAACGATCCGTGCAGAAGGCTGACAAGGGAGGGGAGAGGAATACGTCCTCACCAATCTGCAGGCTGCAGCTGCATCTCTCAATGACAGTACTAGTAAAAGTGACCACTTCACAGTCCCAGTGAAGACAATGAGATTAACCTCCATCGTCTTGTGTGGCACTATCACCGTGCTAAATGAAGCAGACTTCGAACAGATCTAGCAACTTAAAACTGGGCATCCATGAGGCGCTGTGGGCTATCAACAGCAGCAGAATTATACTGCAGCACAATTTGAAAGCTCGTGGCCCAGCATTTCCCCACTCAACGATTACCATTGGAGAGTGCAGGAAGGCATGCCAAGAACAGCAGCTCCAGGCATACCTGAAAATGAGGTGTCAGCTTGGTGAAGCTGCTAAACAGGTCTGCATGCATACCAAACAGCATAAGCAATAAGCAGCAAACAATGGATCAGATCTAAGCTCTGCAGTCCTGGTACATCCCGTCGTGAATGGTGGTGGACAATTAAACAAATCACTGGAGGAGAATGCTCCAGAAATATCCCCATCCTCAATGATGGAAGAGCCCAGTACATATGATCAGGCCTGAAACATTTGCAGTTATCTTAGCCAGAAGTGCCGAGTAGATGATACATCTCAGCCTCCTCCAGTGGTCCCCAGCATTACAGATACCAGTCTTCAGTCAATTTGACTCACTCCACGTGTTATCAAGTGGATGCTGGAAAGATTATGGCCCCTGACAGCATTCCAGCAATAGTACTGAAGGCTTGTGCTCCTGAACTTGCCGATCCCCTAGCCACGCTCTTTGAGTACAGTTACAACACTGGCATCTACCGGACAATGTGGAAAATTGCCCAAGTATGTCCTGTACATAAAAAGCAGGATAAATCGAACCCAGCCAATTACCATCCCGTCCGTCTACTCTCAAGCATCAGTAAAGTGATGGAAGGTGTCATCAACAGTGATATCACGAAGTACCTCCTCAGCAATAACCTGCTCGGTGACACCCAGTTTGGGTTCCGCCAGGGCCACTCAGCTCCTGACCTCATTACAGCCTTAGTTCACACATGGTCAAAAGAGCTGAATTCCAGAGGTGAGGTGACAGTGATAGCCCTTGACATTAAGGCCACATTTGACTGAGTGTGACATCAAGGAGCCCTAACAGAACTGGAATCAATGGGTATAGGGGGGCAAACTCTCCAATGGTTGGAGTCATACCTGGCACGGAGGAAGTGGCCATGATTGTTGGAGATCAGTCATCTCAGCTCCAGGACATCCCTGCAGGAGTTCCTCAGGGTAATGTTCTAGGCCCAACCATCTTCAGCTGCTTCATCAATGACCTTCCCTCCATCAAGGTCAGAATTAGAGTTGTTCACTGATGCTTTCACAATGTTCAGCACCATTTGTGACTCCTCAGTTACTGAAACCGCCCATGTTCAAATGCAACAAAATCTGGATAATATTCAGGCTTGGACTGACAAGTGGCAAGTAACATTCGCATCCAACAAATGCCAGGCAATGACCGTCTCCAACAAGAGACAATATAAACACCACCCCTTGACATTCAGTGGTGGTAACACCATTGATTCCCCCCCACTATCAACATACATGGGGTTACCATTGACCAGAAGCTCAAATAGACTTGCCACATAAACATAAGACTCCAAGATCAGGTCAGAGGCTAGGAATACTGCAGTGAATAACTCACCTCCTGACTCCCCAAAGCCTGTCCATCATCTACAAGGCACAAGTCAGGAGCATGATAGAATACCCCCACTTGTCTGGATGGGTGCATCTTCAACAACACTCAAGATGTTTGACACCATCCAGGACAAAGCAGTCCATTTGATTGGCACCAAACCCACAAACATCCGCTGACCCTCAATAGCAGCAGTGTGTACTATCTACAAGATGCACTGCAGATATTCGCCAAGGATATCTAGATAGCACCTTCAAAACCAACGACCACTGTAAATGTAGAAGGTCAAGGGTAGCAGATACATGGGAACTCTACCTGCAAGTTCCCTGCCAAGCCACTCACCAACCTGATTTGGAAATACATCGTTGTTCCTTTTGTGTCACTGGGTCAAAATCCTGGAGTTCCCTTCCTAAGGGTCAGCCTACAGCATGTGAACTGCAGCGGTTCAAGAAGAGAGCTCACCACCACCTTCTCAAGGGCAACTAGGCATGGGCATTAAATGCTGGCCAGCCAGCAACACCCACAAGTGAGTAAATAAAAAGCAATCCATGTACGACCTGATGAAGTGACACATTAATCTAGTATATGTGAATAATGTACATGAATACCTTGATGCTGTGTCATTTCATTTGCTCCTCACTCATTGTTAACTTGGCATTTCATCCATTATGTTCGCTGTTTGCTAAAATATTGGGGTCAGAACTCCAAATCAGTTGGATAGCAGGAAGATTGCCTCATCTATTCTCAGGCAGAGCCATACTTCATCTGGATGTTACATTTTTTCATCTTATTTCAGATTCCAAAGGACATACCAGTTCGACTCAACACATCCAGCCTGAAAATTTGGATGCCTAAGGTATTAATTACTGTTTTTATTTTCAGTAATGTGAATTGTTTGGATTGGTATCTATTCGGGTGATATCATCATGTATTAACATTTTTTCCATGTAGGAATCTTTTTATCAACTAAATGTGTTAAATATTGCATTGTCTGATTAGGTACACACTTCACACATTTCCCCAATTTTTAAAGTTGATTGTACCATATTACCTCCCATGGAAAATAAGCAAAATTTGTCAACCCACAAATATAAATATATGCATGGTTGCTCATCATTGTTTTCTACAACACTGGGTGAGCTTTTAAATACCTTCCTTCCATGTTCAGGATTGCACCATATTCCGTTCATTGGTGTACAAACTCTAAAATATTTATTATTAAATTATACTTTCATGAAATTTAGAACATCTGTCATTCACTGTTGAGTTAAAATCAATTGGGTAACATTTGAATTTGTTGGAAAACAACTTGTCAGGATTTCAGAAAAATAATATTGTACATATTGCTATAAAATAAGCATTAAATGTCAGCAACTAATGGAATGGAAAGGGTGGTGGCAGCTTCGCTCACTTTGTATCAGTCTTGCAGATGAGACAAATGTTACATGACTCAATCCCACTTAACAATAGAGAATATAATTTAGTGGGGGGAATGTGGCATCAGTTGAGATGCAATCATTTGGATGGGACTGCTGCTCATGATGATGGCTTGAGTGGTCATTAGGGAATTCTTCTCAAGATGTTCAAGAGCAAGGTGTTCTGGCCAACATTATGACCTCATCTACTACCACCAAAAGTAAATTAACTGGCCAATCGTTTCATGGTTAATTGTGGGAGCTTACTGGGTCCAATTTTCATATCTGTCACTGGAGTTAATACGTCATGAAAATGACGTTAGTACTTTATGGGATGTTGATGGGCATTTTAGGTTTGAATTAGTGCACAATGTGTCCAGTTCTATGGGAGCTAAATACTGAACATAATCAAGATAAATTTGGAAATATTGTTAGGGGGTGGGCATGGATTGTTCCTCCAGGCCCTGCAAATATAAACTGAACTACTAACATTGTTGGACTTTCACCCTTCATGATTGGGAATGCCTCAACCTCCACTGCCCCATCAAATCATTGCTCTGCGTTAGACACTCATTTGATAATCTGCAACTCATCAGTTTTATATGAATAAGGCAGGTTCACCCAAATCATAGCCATCTTTTCACTGAGTGCAGGTGATCATCCAGCATGCACTACAATTTCATCACCCAAATCTGACATTGCTAGATGTTACCATGTCAACCCACTTAACAGCAATGATTGTATTTCATTGTGACACATTTTGGAATAATTTTGAGAACTATAAGATTCTAGGTAAATCTTACCTTCTCTCTTACCTGCTTTGGAATGAACCAAGTTAAATCCTTGAGGTTGTCTTATTGGATTTTATTAAATGGTTGTACCTCAAATCTGGTTTGCTTCTCCTAAGATAACAGCAACCATTCCAAACACAATAATACCACTACCCACATATTCTATGGCTATATTATTCTAATGGAATACTGATAGAAAAGGAGACCATTATTAATAATTAATTATTTTAGACAAACAGATCTGCATATTTTACACAAGAGTACAAAACTGTAGCCTTGATATGCAGTTTGAACTATGTGAAAAACATTCGAAAGGGAAGAAAGTGCATTAGTTTGCTCTTTTGCGTTTTCTTTTGAGATGTTGGCTATTTCCACAAATTCTACCAACATGTCTTGTTAACCCACCATAAGGTGGTTCTGAGGAAGGGTCACCGGACCCGAAACGTCAACTCTGATCTTTTCTTCGCAGATGCTGCCAGACCTGCTGAGCTTTTCCAGCAATTTCTGTTTTTATTCCTGTATAAAATGATTTGGCTTCTTCCAGGTTGCAGCACAATACCCCAACATGTTGATGAAAATTGCGATGAGTGCTTCAAAGCAACCAGTTGTAAGGCTTGTTCCGGGAAAACTCACCGCTGATGTATTTACTGCAGCAGAAGTATTTGCAATCCTTCCAAACAAGTCCTTAGCAGAACTATTTGTGCTGGGTGCTGTAAGTATTCTTAGAGAAGAGGCTAAGACTGAAGATACAAGTATAGAGATAACAGCCTTTTTTCATGTAGGTCCATGCGTGTCTTTCATTTCTGATTTGGACCCCCTTTGAAACACATTGCCTGTGTATTTTAGTTTTCTTGTAGCTTTGAGGTTTAATGTTCCAAATAAAAGATCTTCATACATTTGAGCTGCCAAAATAATTTTAGTGTAGAACTGACTGCTATATTGTTTCAAGCTAATAGCCTTACATTTCTCCTGCCAAACTCACCCACTTTGTTACCCTAGATAACAATGATTACCTCAGGCTCCTTTTTTCTACCACTAATTGCTTCTTTACCCTTTTTCTCTTCTGCGCTCACATCTACTAAGAAGAAGATGAGGGGCTCCCAAGTACATGAGTTGGATCTTCAACTCAGCATCAGGGTGTCATGCCATTTTCCCAACATTGTAGTTCCAACTTCTGCCCACTCCCCAAATATTTTCATCTCCGTGAGATTTGGGTAGGTGAGGTACAGACAGACAGGCCCAGGGCAGTAACGGAGGTATGCACGTGACAGAGCAGGCTAGTTGGAAAGCCCATCTCTGTTTACTGACGCATTAGTCCACTTAATTTCAGGGTTGTTATGCAACTTAGCCCTCGCACTCTCACCACCCCCCAACCACCCTGTGTCCCCTCCATGCACCTCATGTCCACTCTATTCTCTGATTTCTCCATATAACCTATACGCCTCATCATATTCTCCATGCCTCATCAGTGCCCTCCGCCATCCTCTTTATACCCGTATTCCCCCTCCATCCTTACTCCACTTCCATGTCCTCCATGCATCCTTCATTTCTAATCTCCCTGTATCCATAATGTACAGAACCAATAAATCACTAGCAAGTCTTGCAAGTCTTTGAAATGCTCTCAAAACTAATACAAAAGGCAAAGGAGCTTTAAAAATCTCTGTGGTAAAATCTATGTGCTTACAACCTCAGCTAAGTATCAATCCGTCACCTAAGGGCTTTACATGTCTCCTGATCTCTCCTTCTTTGCTTTGGTATCTATTTTCTCTTTTGGTTTTGCAAAGAACCTTAGGCTGACTTTCTGCTTTGAAGATACTATATTGATCCATGTTATGTTATTGAGATCTGTTGAAAATTACTAGAGGGGACATATTTTTGTTGCACGTTAAGTAGAAAAATTAATGGACATTTAACTCTGAAAACCTGAACAATTCACGAGAAACGTAATATTACCAGATGTTTCAAAATGATTCATTTAAAAATTATTCACCTTCATCAATTTGTGTATGAAATTTTACATCAAACATACTTGTGATCCTCCATAAATACCGCAACAGAATGTGTTGAGGGGTGAATCATGGAATGGTTCAAGGGCAGCTAGGGATGAGCATTAATGCTAGCCAGCCAGTGACATTCACATGCCATGCATAAATAAAAAGAAATTACAGTACTCAAGGCCATTTGTCTGTGCTGGATCTCTAAAGGAGCACAGAGAGTCAGTACAGATTTCACAAGCCAAACATTTTTCTTCTGTGTCGCAACCATTCTATGACTCCTTGGTTGGAAGTTAACCGAGTTGAAATGTTTCTATGATGTTGCTAAAGTCTGGTGAAATACCAGAAGAAATCCATTGTACCATTACAAATAAATTAGCTAACTCCGTTCAAACCTTCTTCCACCATGTAAGTTAACCAATATTTCCTCTCTCTGAAACGCAGTGAAGATATATAGAAGAAAGAGGAAACTGTATATAAATGTTCACATTGCTCCCCTCACTACACTCTTGCACCTCCCAATACCCCACCAAAACCAACAATGGTGTTTGCAATTACTTTTTTCTGCCATTGGAAGTGGTGCACACTAGACACCAGATAAATAACTTGCTTGTAACCTTTTAAAATAGAATTGCCAAGCTAGTAACAAGGCTGATGCAGATATGATTTGCAGAACTATTGAAAAATAACAATTTACTTTGATATCATTTAGCAGTACAAGTGTAAACTTGTCTGAATTTAAGTTCCGGCACCACAACTGTAACCAACCACACTACAGAGTTTAATTCAATTTCAACCTTGCTTCAGTCTGTTCCATCACTGGACAGAGAGTGCGATATTGTGAGTTGCCAATTTCTGTTTTAAATCAGTCACAGCACAAGTTATAGGAGAGATTGAACCTTCAACATTATTAATTATAACTTTATCAATGACTTTTATTCTACAAACCCAGGCAAAATTGACAATATTCAGCAAAGTTCGGTCTATTCTTTTGTGATCTAAGATGTGATTTGTATATATTTTAATATAACTTTTTTTTTTCAAATTTTAAATAACTACTATTACTACTGACATTTGGATTTTCTGTGTGTCTGAAGGGGGTTTAATGACTTGTAGGTACCTCTGTCATGATGGAGGTGGTAAGCTATGGTGATTTCTTTATTTAAAAAAAATGTCTGAGAGAGAAAGCTCAGGGAGGCTAATAGGAATTTTCTAACATTAAGAGTTTATGAGTGAACAAAGTAAACAGTGTAATACATTAAGGTTTTAATTGCTTAGGGGAAACACCCATAGCTTGGAAGAAAAAGTTTTTCAGTTTCACTTTGGGGCAATATGCAGATGTTTTCGCTGAAGTTGGATATGGAAAGCATTTGTTTTGACAAAGACTGTAGGACTGTTAAAAAAGAGGTTACCTCAGTGAGGAGTTTAGTTTCAAAGTTTCAGACCGGAAGTGTGGTTAAAACTCAGAAGGGTCATGTTATGCCGCAACAGCGTAAGCTCAGTAAGAGACTATCAAGCTCTCGAGATTGAAGCCACAGTTAAGATTAATAATGTGAAACAGAAGAGAATTCCCTGGTGTAAGCACTGTAAGAAGTGTTTTTGGGATTAATGGAATTATTGTACTGTGTTTCAAATCGTAAAATTTATGTTCTATATAAATATTTTGGTTTATTCTAGTTTATCATAATTTCTTCTGCATAATAAACTTCTGAAATTGATAAACCCTAAATCAGTAGCATTGTGTGTTTGTGTTTCAGTGAAAGGCTATCTCATTACAACCAAAAAACAAAATATGGTATCAAGCTAGATTTCATTCTGTAATATAATTTATCCAGGAATAACATTAGATTTTATAACATTTTAAATATTAAAAGTTTTATAATAGAGGTCATCCAAAATCTAGTGCAGTAAAAAATCCCTTTGATCAATACAGGAAAGTAAAACTACGGGAATTCTAATTGTTTTTACTGTGAACAGAAGACACATGTTACAATAAATTATGTATTGATCACAGACAGCCAGTGTGCATGGACAGATATTCATTTCAGACTTGAAAGTGTGTGGGACAGTGTTTTTGAACAGGTAAGAATTACACCAGACAAAATACTTTCTTTCTTAATAAATAGATTCTACCTTCACTTTCTATACATTAATGCCATGCAGAAAATACTCGTGACAATTGATAAGCAGCAATGCTACAAGTAGTACATGGCTCCACTATCTCTGAGTAGTGCAACATATTTACGGTATTTAAAACTTTGTAAAAATATGTCTGTTTTCAAAACCAGCTGAATTTCTACTCGGGAATATGAACAAAATTTTCGCTTCAAATATATGTTCGTCGTTATCACTGAGAGTATGGTGAATCAGTGCTGATGTTAATTAAACTCTTATGTTGATTCTTTCAAACATAAGAGGAATTCTCCACAAATCTTAGTTGTTCATTATAAGTTACTTAAAGAAATAAACTGGAACAGTTATTACATTTTAATTCATTCTTGGAATATGGGCAATGCTAGGAATTATTTCATATTCCTGGTTGTCCTTGAAAAGGTGGTTGGGGGGGCGGGTACTACGTTGAAACGCTGCCTTCCATAAAGTGAAGGTATTCCCACAGCATTGATAGGTAGAGTATTCCAAGATTTTTACCAAGCTATATGAAGAATAATCCTATAGGACCAAGTTAGGGTGACACAGTGGTTAGCATTGCTGCCTCACAGCACCATAGCTCAGGTCCCGGGTTTGATACCAGCTCAGGCGACTGTCTGTGTGGAGTTTGCACAATCTCCCAGCATCTGCGTGGCTTTCCTCCAGGTTCTCCAGTTTCTTCCCACAATCCAAAGATGTGCAGGTTCGGTGGATTGGCCATGGGAAATTGTCCGTAGTGCCCAGGATGTGCAGACTAGGTGGATTATCCATGGGGAATGCAGGGTTACAGGTGGTAAGGGAGGGGTGTGGGTACTGGGGGAGGTGTCTGCTCTTAGGGTCAGTGTCAACTCAATGGGCTGAATAGCCTGCTTCCATGCTGTAGGGATTCTGTGATTCTATGTAGTCAAGATGGTTGGTCATCTGTCTTGATAGTGATGCAGGAATGAGGGCCATGCCAAACCTTCGTGTTACAGCTGGTATTAGTTTACATTTCTTTTGCTGTTGATGGCGCCGTGCTGCCTCAAGATTACCCAGGTTTGAGATGTTAGAAGTGTCACAAATGTAACTCTCTTTTCATAATGATGGGAGCACACGACACAATGGAAGGTGGTTTGATTATGAAAATGGGCTTGTTTTCCGCAACAGCTGCTAAGTAATCATTTGTAGCAATGGTGATGTCAGGTTTTTGAGGAAGATGTTAAACTGGTTATTCTCTCAAGTTGGTTTTGTCACCAGTCCAGTCCTTTTAGAGTGCTTGTCCAGTAGATAAGCCTCTATACTACTAGAATGTTATAACGTTAGGTGGGAACGTGTGAAACAGCTTGTATGTGTTATGGAGATGGAATTGTGACCAAGCAGGTTCTAACACTCAGGTTTCAATGTCATGATTGCTAGGTACCACATATTACTGCCTATATTCTCCAACCTTTCCTTAATTTACTTAGCAATTCCTGAAGGAAATTGTAAGCCGGAAACCCATCTCTAGGATGCTGTCAATGGAGTTATAGAGAAGGTCTTCGTGAAGGAGTGAGTTCTACTTGGCATAAGGTTTCTTTTTCTCTAAAAGTCCAGTTAAAATATTAAAACATCACAACATAGAACAGGCACTCAAACCCAAAGTAACACAAATGCAAATCAAAGTCCCAGAATGATCTATTATGAATTTAATAATGTCATTGCAATTCATCCATTTTTATGATTTGTGTAGTTTCTCCATGTAAAACTGAATAACTAAATACAGCTTTCTAATTTTTAAATCAGGGTGGACCTCACTGTGGAAGAATCTAAAGTGGGGCCCATCCCTGTAAGTTGTATACTATATTTTTAATATTTTAGATATTTTAAATTGCAGAGTTAATTATCACTTTTTACCTTTTCATGACGAAATGTAATTGGTGTAAAGTAAAGCTTTTATTATTCATTTTAGGCCTGTGTTAATGCGCCGTTGAGCGTAAGAAATTTATACAAAATGTTATGTTAAATTGATTTTCACTAAAAAAACACCTTTTTCATATCAAAGACAGGGGCAATGGAAATAGCACTGAATCTGGGGTTGCAGAAGATGGTGATTCCGAAGATAAATGGTATGTCTGACTAAAGATAATTACACTGCCCTTTAAACTGGCCCAATCACAATGTCACATTGCTGATCATGTTATTGACTCAAGTAGTTCAGTATCTCTGCTGTTATTTGGGTGCTTTACATACACTCCCCACCCCGCCGCCAACTAACACATTCAATGTGTGACGTTGGGGTGGAGATATGGAGTAATTAGTTTTCCAAACTTACGTCTTCAAAATCAGTGAATCCAATTGGAAAAATCAAGGTTAACATCTCCCTCTTTCTTGCCTCAATACACCCCATTCTCATAAAGTGGCAAACTGGCTGATATTAGAGAGTCGAGAAATGCAGAGCCACTAAAACACCATCATGTCATGTTGTACAGAACCTTATGGAACTGGGTAGATTACATTAGTCTCCCCATTCAAACCTTCAAGCATCCATCAACAATTTGCAAGCTGCATTAGCTATTTTGGATTGCATCTAAAGTATTGACATATATTGTTTCATTCTTCAAGATTCTATTATGTATGTACTGTTGTGACTTTAGCAGTTTAATCAGTTAGTAAGTGTCTACTAATCCTAAATAAAAACCGAAAGAACTGTGAATGCTGTGAATCAAGAACAAAAACAGAAGTTGCTGGAAAAGCTCAGCAGGTCTAGCAGCATCTGTGAAGAAATCATCAGAGTTAACATTTCGGGTCCAGTGACCCTTCCTCAGAACACCTATGAACATGTACCAATAGATTCAAGAACAGCTTCTTCCTCACCAGAATTAGTATCTACTAATCCTATTTCAATTACAACATTGATCGAATACTTTTTAAATTGTAAATAATGCATATATTCAAATTGCTGGGTAAAATGTGTCAGTTCTTTGCTGAAAGTAATCTTATTTGTTCTCACAATGTAGTCAAATGGAATAGGTTATGGTTGCTGAAATGTGAATTGTCTTAAAGATTCTCAAACCTATCCCCTACTTCCTCACTTCCCGCTGCCTTGGGAAAGCAGCCAACATATTCAAGAATCCCTCCCACCCCAATTACACTCTCTTCCATTGGGCAGAAGATACAAAAGTTTGAAAACATGTACCAATAGATTCAAGATCAGCTTCTTCCCCATGAGACTTATGAATGGAGCCCTCGTATATTAGAGTTGATCTTCCTCTTCATCTTCTCTGTGGCTGTAGCACTATATTCTGCATCCTGTTCTATTACCCTGATGTACTTATGTAAGGTATGATTTATCTGGTTAGCATTTAAAGGAATAATTTTGGAACCTACTGGCACACTATCTGACAACTCTAATTTGGTTCGTTTTGATCCAAGGAGAGAAAATGGTTGCAACAGAATCACAGGGTTCTGGAGAAATTCAGCAGGTCTGGCAGTATCTGAGATACAGAAACATATTTAGCATTTCAAATCCAAAATGAGCTTTTGGAACTAAATGAGAATCATATGGACTGAAAATGTTGACTCTGTTTCTCTCTCCACAGATGCTGCTAGGCCTGTGGAGTTTCTCCAGCAACCTCTGTTTTTATTTCTGACCTCCAGTATCCACAGTCCTCTGCTTTTATGAAAGGAATTGGTTGTATTGATTGGAGACGGCCAGAGGAGTGGTGGAGGCTGGTGCAATTACAATGTTTAAAAGGCATCTAAATGGGTACATGAATGGGAATGGTTTGGAAGGAATATGGGCCAAATGCTGGAAAATGGGACTAGATTAATTTGGATATCTGGTCAGCGTGGACGAGTTGGACTGAAGAGTGAAGGGTCTGTTTCCGTGCTGTACACCTCTCTGACTCTGTCTTTTTGTTGTATCTCAGTACATGTGACAATAATAAATCAAGTCAAAACATTTCTGGGCTAACCAAGGCAGGAGACAGCAGGAGTCCCTACCCAGAATCACACCCATCTCCCTCCATTCGTAGGTTTCCTCCATCAGCCTCAATGGGAGACTGCATGCCTCCCCCACACTCCTACTTAAACAAGAGTATTCTCTCAGTTGGTTTCATCACCACTAACCATAAGTCTAGTCATAGACTAATCTCAGGTTCCAGTGAGCAACACAGCAGGAAATTTAACATTGGTTTAAAATACAATGTACCATCACCATCTTGAAATTTTCCTAAATTACATAAGTAATGACTACTAATGCCCCTGCAACCAAATAACAGCAGAGACAATGAACTACTTGAATAAAAAATATGATCAGTTTGAACTAATTTTATCATTAAAATTGTTATCTAATCATATCAAATATATTCCTCCCACTTGTTTCTTATTTAAATGTTTTCAAGCATTGCTGAAAAAGGGATTCACCATACCAACCATGGACAAAGTATCGCTGAAGAATCCAGTTCTTAAAACTGAACAGGTAATAGATTTCTATTTATGGTACTCTGAAGAAAGAGAAACTGCTGTGTTCTTAGCTCTCATTTATTCAAGTCGACTCAAGTTACATGACCTTCCATTTTTACTAGCCTTGTTGTAAAGTCCTTCTATGTTACATCTTGTTAAATAAGGTGTAACTCATTATTAACTGTATTAAATCAAAATGACTTTGCCCCTGAGAAATTAACTTTAGATTTGCGGAGTTTTGAATGTTTCTATTGTGATAAAAACATCATGGGTTTTAACATAAAAATATTGTTAAAATGTTGCTTGATATTTATCTTAAATCTATTTGTACGTTCCGTTTGTCATTTCTCAGCCTCTAGTACGAATAAGAAGTGAAAAACTATCATTATCTTTTACTTCCTGGCTTGCTGTCTGAGACTTTTTCAATGTCTTTGGTTGATTAGTCTAATTGCTGACATCACTTTTGCTTGGTGCTGAAGATACCCTTGTTGCCCCCAGAATCAATTTATGCTGCGATAGATGAAAGCCAGAGATCAAGAAGTCTTTGTGGCTGATTTCTTCAAGATCAGAACATCATTTTGTCACCACTTGAGCTTTTATAACAATGAAAATAGCAACTTACATTTATACAGTGGTATTTAATGCAGGACAACATTCCAAGGCACTTAACAAGAGTGATACCAGCCAAGAAAAACATGTATTTTACACTGAGCCAGAGAAGTAGAAATTGGAAAAGATGACCAAAAGTTTGATCAAAGATATCAAAGCAGCAACTTAACAGAGAAGAGAAAACTTTTGCAGTTCCAATATTGGATGTCAGAGAAGAGTTTGACAAATCAGAGATAGTTGCAAAGTTCTAAGGTGGTACTGAGATAGAGCTGAGTGTCATTGGCATAGATGTTGAAGCTCATGTGTTTCTAGATAATACAATGAAGAGGCAGGATATAGGTGAGAAATACAGGAGAGCCAATGATAGTGCCTTGAAAGCCTCCAGAGGTAACAGTGTGAAAGTGCAAGCAACTTTTGGGCTATGATTAGCGAGAGCGAACTAGGACCAACCTAGTGCAGTTCCACCTATCTAGATGAGGACATATTGGAGGAGGATGGTGCTATCTACTATATCAACAGCCACAGGTGGGTTGAGAAAAATTAGTGAAGTGCAATAGTTCGTCATAGCTGTAATAGTATCCTTTGTGACTTTAGAATCATAGACCAGCATCGTTCAGGCCTTATCAGAATTCTTAGAAGTTGGATGGGTGGTAGAGAACATAATTTGGTGGGAAGCATAAATTTAGTTTCTTGATGACAATTTAAGGTTTTGGGTTTAAGTTATTGAGTCATAGAGTAATACAGCATGGAAACAGGCCCTTCAGCCCAATCTGGTCCATGCTGACCATGGTGCGCACTCAGCGAGTTCCAATTGCCCACATTTGGTCCATATCCCTCTAAGCCCCTCTCATCCATGTACCTATCCAAATATTTTTTTAAGTATTGCTAATGTAGCTGCTTCAACCACTTTCTCTGGCAGCTCATTCCATATACACACCACTCTCTGCATGAGGAAGTTGCCCCTCAGGTCCTTCTTAAATCTTTCCCCTCTCACCCTAAACATATGCCCTCTATTTTAAAATTCCCCATCCCTGGGGAAAAGGAAATCTATATGCATTCATCCTATCTATGCCCATCATGATTTTATATAACTCAGTATGGTCACCCCTCATTCTCCTACATTCCAAGGAATAAAATCCAATCCTGGCCAACCTCACCCTATAATTCAGGTTTACTAGTCCTGGCAAAATCCTCGTAAATCTTCTTTGCACATTTTCCGGTTTAACTATGTCTTTCCTAAAACAGGGTGACCAAAACTGTACACAATACTCCAAGTGCGGCCTCACCAACGACTTATACAACTGTAACAGAACATCCCAACTCCTATACTCAGTGCCTCAACCGATGAAGGCCAGCATGCTAAATGCCTTCTTCACCATCCTGAAATGCCGCTTTCAACGAGATATGTACTTGTACAACCAGGTCCCTCTGTTCAACAACATTCCTCAGGACCATACCATTTACTGTATAAGTCCTACCTTGGTTTGACTTTCCAAAGTGCATCACCTCACACTTATCTGTATTGAAATTGCATTTGCCAGTCATCAGCCCACTTCCCCATTTGATCAAGATCCATCTGTAATTTTTGATAACCTTCCTCACTATCAACGATACCTCCTAATTTTGAATCATCCGCAAACTTACTAATCATGCTTTGTATGCTCACATCCAGATCATTTATTTAAATAACAAATAACAAAAGCTCCAGTACTGACCCCGTGACACACCACTAGTCACAGGCCTCCAGTCCAATAAACAACTTTCAACCATCACCCTCTGTTTCCTACCATTGAGCCAGTTTTGAATCCAATTTGCTAGCTGTCCCTGGATCCCATGCGACAAACCCTCATGTCTAGCCTGCTGTGTGGGTCCTTGACAAAGTCCTTACTAAAGTCCATGTAGACAGCGTCCACTGCCCTAGCCTCATCTATCTTCTTGGTTACCTCTTCAAAAAACTCTAAAAGATTTGTCAGGCATGATTTCCCATGCACAAATCCATGCTGACTATTCCTAATCTGACCTTGACTATCAAAATGTTGGTTGATCCTGTCCGTCAGTGTCCTCTCCAATAGCTTGCCTACCACTGATATCAGGCTGTATGGTCTGTAGTTCCCTGGCTTATCTTTGCTGCCTTTCTTAAACAATGGAACAACATGAGCCACCCTCCAGTTTTTTGGAACTTCACCGGTGGCTAAAGACGAAACAAAAATGTTCCTTACCCTTCCATGACATCCGAGGATGGACTTGATCAGGCCCAGGGGATTTATCCATCTTAATGCACTTTATAGCTGCAAATACCTCCTCTCTGGTAATATGTATGCAGTCCAAAACATCCCCACTTCTTTCCCTTGTTTCCTTAGCATCCATGATTCTCTCCTCAATAAATACTGAGGAGAACTATTCATTAATAATCTCTCCCATCTCCTGTGGCTCCACACATAAACAGCCATGCTGATCTTTAAGAAGACCCATTCTCTCCCTAGCCACCCTTTTACTCCTAATGTAGCTATAGAACCTCTTGGGATTATCTTTAATCTTATCTGCCAGATCCATCTCGGACCCGCTTTTTGCTCTTCTGATTTCCCTCTTAAGTGTGCTCCTACACTTTTTATAGTCATCTCGGGATTCACTTGAGCCCGATAACTTACAACCAATGTATGCCTTCTTCTTTATCCTGACTAGAGCCTCAATATCCCTCATCAGCCAGGGATCTCTAAACCTGCCAGCTTTCCCTTTACCCTGACAGAAACATACTATCACTGGACCCTTGATATCACACTTTTAAAAGCCTCCCATTTGCCAGTCACTCCTTTTCCTTCAAACAGACTCACCCAATCGACCACTGCTAGATCCTGCTTAATGGCCCTAAAATTAGCCCTGCTCCAATTCAGCACCTTAACCTGTGGATCTGTCCTATCTTTTTCCATAACCATGTTAAAATTAAGACAGTTATGATCACTGGACCTAAAGTGCTCTCCGACAGGCACTTCAGTCACTTGCCTGACCTCGTTTCCTAAGACGAGGTCCAGTGTTGCATCCTCCCGAGTAGGGCTCTCTACAAATTGATTTAGGAAACTTTCTTGGACACATTTGACAAATTTCACCCCGTCCCGGCGTTTTACACTCTGGGTGGCCCAGTCAATACAGGGGAAATTAAAATCTCCAACCAATACTACTCTATTATTCCTACAAGTATCTGCAATCTCCCTACACATCTGCTCCTCTAGTACCCACTGGCTATTTGGGGGTCTATAACACAGTTCTAACAGAGTGACCATCCCCTTCTTGTTTCTAAGTTCAATCATATGGCCCCATTTGATGACCCCTTAAGAATACCCTCTCTAAGCACTGTTGTTATGTCCTCCCTTATCAAAAGGGTAACTCCCCCTCCTCACTTACTTGTACTCTGTCACACCCGTAGCTTCTGTATCCTGGAACATTGAGCTACCAGTCCTGCCCTTCTCTCAGCCATGTTTCTATTATGGCTATAATATCCCAGTCCCCAGAGCCAATCCATGCTCTGAGCTCATCTGCCTTGCCAGTCAGGCCTTGTACATTGAAATAAATACACTTTAAACCAGAATTCTTTTCACTCCCTTTGCTGTGCACCTGCCTATCCTGAATAGTAAACTTGCTCTCGAGAGCTAATGTATTTTCCCCTGACTTCTCGGTGGCTCCTCTCTTATTCAGAGTGTCACCAACCCCCCCTGCCAAACTAGTTTAAACCCTTCAAGTAATACTAGCAAATCTTCCCGCAAGGATATTGGACCCCCTTAAGTTCAAGTGCAACCCGTCCCTCTTGTAGAAGTCACCCCTTGCCCAGAAGAGATCCCATTGATCCAAGAACTGAAAACCCTGCCCTTACACCAGCTCCTCCGCCACGCATTCATCTGGCTATCTTTCTCTTTCTATCCTCATTGGCACGTGGCACTAGGAATAATCCGGAGATCACTACCCTTGAGGTCCTGCTTTTTAACTTCTTACCTAACTCCCTATACTCATTTCACAGGAACCCCTCCCTTTGTCTATCTATGTCATTTGTACCGATGTGTACACTGACCTCTGGCTGTTCACCCTCCCCCTTCAGAATGTTTTGCAGCTGCTCAAGAGACATCCTTGACTCTGGCACCCGGGAGACAACACACCATCCTGGTGTCTCTTCTGCTGTCACAGAATCTCCTGTCTTACCCCCTCACAATTGTGTCTCCTATCAGAATCGCTCTGTCTGACCTTTCCCTCTGTGCTTCAGAGCCGGTCACAGCACCACTGACCCGACTGCTGCTGGTAGACCCTGAAAGGTCATCCCTCCAACAGTATCCAAAATGGTATACCTGCTATTGAAGGGAATGACCACTGCACTATCTGCCTTCCCCCCTTACCTCTTCTAGTGGTCACCCAGCTACCTGCAGCCTGCACCTTAGGAGTGACCACTTCATTATAGCTCTTATCAATGATGTTCTCTGCATCCCAGATGATCCTGAGTGCATCCAGCTCCAGGTCCCGTTCCCTAACGCGGTCTGTCGGGAGCTGCCACCAGGTGTTCTTCTCACAGGTGTAGCCACCACGGACACTGGAAGTCTCCCTGATCTTCCACATCCTGCAAGAGGAGCATGCCACTGCCCTAACTGCCACCCCCACTGCCTTCAGTGTAGACAGAAAGAAAGTAAGTTTAAGAGCCCTTACCTGTACCCCTGCTCAGCCTCCTCACGCCGAAAACTCTCAAGCAAAGGCCTCAGCACTTCCACTCTAACAGCCCTCTCTCTCAGTGCTTGCTTCCTTCTACACTTTTACCTTTACTCCTCCTCACAGACTCATATATTTTTTAGTCAGAAGAGGAGGGAAGGTCGGAAATACCAATGTAGTGTTTCAGGTTTAACCACATCTTGACACCAGGTTCTGTCTGACCTGCTATACAGTCATGATAACTGTGGCAATGTCTCCTGGAATTCCACTGTGATGACTCTCAGTGGCCCTCTGATTCACTGCCCTTCTTCACCGTAAGCCCTCAGAAACGTTTAGGCGGTTAACTTTCCCACCCTTGGTTGAAAGGAACCTCTATTGCAGAGGGTGGGAAAACCAACGTGCCTAAACTCATGAACATAATTCCAGTCATTAACACCTCAGCCAGTTGGAATTACATTCATGAATACAATCTTGTTAAGGCAAAAATAGGAAATACATTCTTTACTCAGAGAGTAGTAAGGGCGTGGAATGCCCTGCCTGCAAAAATAGTAGACTTGCCCACTTTAAGGGCATTTAAATGGTCATTGGATAAACATATGGATGATAATGGAATAGTTTAGGTTAGATGGGCTTCAGATTGGTTTTCACAGGTCGGCGCAACATCGAGGGCCGAAGGGCCTGTACTGCGCTGTAATGTTCTATGTTCTATGTTCGCAAATTTAGCAACATATATGAGGTGTGTACCTGGTGGGGTGGACGCTCTTCCTCCAAACTCCAGTGAATACAAATTTCTTCGGTAACATAGCTCCGTCATAATGAAATTGTTCCTTCGTGCAAATTACATGGTTACAGGTGAAGTATGATTGGGCGAACAAGTCCATCCAAGCAACGCAGCAATACTGGATGATGCCATCAAACTAGACTGAGGCAGGCAAGCAGGACTGAACCCAAAAAGGGCCTCGGTTCAAAAGGCTTAGATAACATTGAGCGAGGTAGAAGGGAAAAATAGGGAGTACAATTTAAAGAGCATGGTTGTCAGGACACTGAAAGGATCCTGGGGAGCACAAGGAAGAAATAGGAGTATCACAACGCGAGGAATAAGGACGACAAGGAAGAGTGTGAGGTACAAATTCAGGGTGGGGAACACAATGGGGTATAGGTGGGCTGAGGTGACACAGAGAATTAAATAAGGGATGGTGTAAGGCTAAGGCTGGGCATGGAGTCTGGATGAGAATGGGATCAGGGAGAAAAGCAAAAATATCAAGAGAGATAGGTGAAAGAACCAAGGGGGATTGAAGAAAGACAGTGGATGCCAGTAGAAAGGAGAAGATCATTACATTGATGGGCTGGAGAAGTGTTGTGTAGAGGGGAGGGGAGAGGGGAAACAAAGTCATTTTGAAAATTTACAACCACCAACTCCTGAATCATCTTGCAAAAGAAGACCTTACAGAGAATCTCTACAGTGTAGAAGCAGGCCATTTGGCTCATCAAGTCCACACCGAGCCTTCAAAGAGCATCCCACCCAGACCCATGCTATCCCTATATTTCCCATGGACATCCCTGGGCAATTTTGCATACCCAGTCCTCCTAACTTGCACATCTTTGGACAGTTGGCGGAAACCCTACATAGTTGCCCAAGGCTGGAATTGAACCCAGGTCCCTGGTGCTGTTAGGCAGCAGTGCTAACCATTGAGCTGCTGTGCTGCCCCATAATGTGCATTACAAATGTGCGCTAGGGGAAGGCAATGGCCTATTGGTATTATTGCTGGACTGTTAATCCAGAGACCCAAATAATATTGTGGGACCTGGGCTTGAATCCTGCCATGGCAGGTAATGGTATTTCATTTCAATTAAGAAAAGTCTGGACCTAAGAGTCTAATAATAACCATAAAATCATTGTTGATTTTTGGAAAAGTTCATCTGGTTCACTAATATATTAAGTGAAGGAAACTGCCATCCTTACCTGGTCTGGTCTGGCCTACACATGACCCAAGGTCCAGAGCAATGTGGTTGATACTTAACTGCCCTCTGGGCAATTAGGGATGGACAATAAATGCTGGCCTAGCTAGCACCTCGCTCATCCTGTGAATGAATTTAAAAGATCAACAGGAGGTGTGAGCTGAGATACGTTTATACTTGTTTTTGCACAGCACAAACCACCTAACTTAGAGAATTGAAATAGAACCTGAAAACTGATATTGTGCATGCCCTCAGTCAAAGGCTTAGCACTGAAGGGAAGAACTCACAGCAGAATAAAGGTGAATAAACTCTGTCAGCTCCTGACACTGACATCCCAACTCTGTTCTGTGATTCATTAAACTCTGAGAAGAAGAGGACCTAAAGTCACCAGCAGTGTTTGATGTGATGTGGTTTCTTCAACATTAGCATTGATAGCCTACACCACAGAGACTTAAGTTCTTATTGAGGTCTATCTATAGTCTGGGTACTGTGCTTACTTACATTAGTATAACATTATATACAGAGCTGACTGACTGACTGACTCGGTGTACTAGTGTGACTGTTCATTTACTGACTGAATGGACAGAGAACCTTTAAACAAGAGCATCACATGTTGTGACATCATCTAGCTGTCTTAAAGATACGTTACCTTTCTGACAACTGTGCAAGATAACAGTGCTGATGTTCGTTTGGTGTTTGTTCCTCATGCAGCCATGCAGGAGCTTTCAAAGCCTGTGCATCTAAACGTTAAGGCCATGTGGTTGGAATCATTATGCAGTCTGTAGCTTGCAAGGTTGTAGGGCAGTACCACAAAGGATAATGAAGGCCACCTTGAGCCAGATCGATCTATTTACTACGTGCTTGGAAAGCAATGCAAAGATCAAGACTACAGAGATCCGGCACACGGCACAATAGGGAAGAGGACAACTTCTCATGGAAGGTGCATCTCGCAATTCACAGGTGGCTAGAGGGCAGGCTTTCACCTAACACAACCAGCCCATAGGGTAGCTAGACTGGGTCAGCTCTCAAATAAAAAAACAACATCGCATTCCTGAAATGTCTTCACAGATCAGTACATTCTGCAATCAACTTAATCCAACAGTGGTACTAGTATTGCTGAGATTAAGAAGGAGGAAGATAAAGAGAAGATCAACAGATCCAGAGGTTCAGAAAGCAGTAGCTATGCCTGAAGAGGGGAACAAGGGTCTTCAGTGCCATCAAGCTGTGCACTGAGAGACGGTCTACTGAAGGTGGTGCAGCTATTTGGAAATAAGTGAAGAGCAGTGTCAGAGACATCTTTACCTGACTAGGGACATTATCACCTACATCTGTCCCCTTCTTCAGGTAGATCAGACAGCTAGGCAACTTGAGAGGCAGGACTGTTTCTGATGTGTTAAAGATCACAATGGCATTGAACTTCCTACAAGCCAGCTCCTTTCAAACCTCAGCTAAGGAGATGTGACGGACATTCACACAAGTGCATTTGTGAGTTGATTGATGCCCTTTACAGGAAAGCAATACAGTTACAGTTTGCACAATTCAGCACAGAGCCACAGAGCTGTGGAATTGACAGCCATTGTTGGGTTCCCTCAGGTACAAGGGGCCATCGATTCTGAACATGTGACACTCTGCCAGTTCCCTGGCATCTTCCAGTCAGATTTTTGAAGAGGAAAGGATTTCACTCCCTCATTGACCAGTTTATTAGTGACCTACCAGTGTGTATTCCCTATCCAGGAAACTGTCACGACGTTTACATTCTACACAACTCCCAGCTTCAACATGTGAGCATTCTCTAGGACTGTCGTTTCAGGTTCATTGCATTCCTGACACATCACTTGATCTTTGACTGCTCCATCTCACATTTTACTATCACATCAAACATGATCATGTTGAATGTTATTGAATGGGCCAAATGGCCATGTCCCTTTTTCATATTTTCTCATTACAATCTAAAATATCAAACTCTTCCTCCATCAAGGCAAGCAGAATCTTTGTCAATTGGCCAATCCTGACTTTGTTGAAATGCCATTTTCTCAATCTCCATTGTTTGTACAACGAATGAATGGAGTTGTTTAAAGAAAATGAAAATGACCCTATGAATTTTCTCCCGAGTAGCTTGCAGCACTGATCTGGGGTTTTCCAGAAGATTCAGGACAAGCTAGGGCATTGGTAACACCAAGCTCCCAAGCCAGTAAAACATGTTCATAAAATTTGCTTTTACTTTCGTTTAAAGTTGTTAAAAGTTAAATTTGGAACAGAAAAGTTTACAGTAATTAAAGTTTATTTTGTAATTTTAGATTATTTCTTTAAAAAAGATTACATTTTGCAGGAACCAAATTAATGTTGTTTAAAGATAAATGGAGTGAGCTGATGTTCGAGAATGGTCCCATCTGTGAGGTATCAAACATCAAACATCAAACAAAACCCTGTCCCCCTGTGGCTCTGGACAGAAACTGCCACAATGAAAAGCAGGAGTTTCACACATTGGGACTGGAAGATATTTTTAAAGTGTCCTGTGTAACTCTTCCAACAGCAACTCTGTACAGCTGCTACAAAATAATTATGGTAGAGACCTAGCAACAGTGTGTTCTGTCTACTCTGTCTGATTTTAAAAGTTGGTTGGGGAAATGAGGGAAAAAATATATCAACCACCACATCAGACGATACCTTCAAATCTGCAAAATGCATTCAGCATGTATTTCTCTAGGTTATGCTAATGTGAACTTAACTCTAATCTAATTATTTATCTGTCTTTCAGGGTTTAATAGTGATCACCACCGATATTAAATACAGAAACTGAAAACCAAAATACTGCAAAATGGAAAACCAAACTGCAGAGAAGCTGTCAAATTCATCTAGAGTTAACAGACAACACCTACTTATATCTTATCATAATCTCACATGATTCGCCTGAATGACAACACAAATTAAATCAGCTTTGCATCATTGCAAAACCATGACTAGTAATGTGCCTCTTTCAATTAATACTTTGTATTATTATGTCAGGTGTGTCCAGAAAGAATTTCTGACTCAATATGGAGATAGGCCAACTAGAGGGGAGGCCATATTGGATTTGGTGCTTGGCAATGAACCAGGTCAGGTGTCAGATCTCTCAGTGGGAGAGCATTTCGGTGATAGTGATCACAACTCCCTGACCTTTACTATAGTCATGGAGAGGGATAGGAGCAGATGGTATGGGGAAGTATTTAACTGGGGGAGGGGGAATTACAATGCTATTAGGCAAGAACTGCGGAGCATAAATTGGGAACAGATGTTCTCAGGGAAATGCATGACAGAAATGTGGAACTGTTTAGGGAGCACTTACTATGCGTACTGGATAGGCTTGTCCCACTGAGGCAAGGAAAGGATGGTAAGGCGAAGGAACCTTGGATGACAAGATGTGGAATATCGAGTCAAGAGGAAGAAGGAAGCTTACTTTAGGTTGAGGAAGCAAGGATCGGACAGGACTCTAGAGGTAGCCAGGAAGGAATTGAAGAATGGACTTAGGAGAGCTAGAAGGGGGTATGAAAAAGCCTTGGCGGGTAGGATTATGGAAAACCCCAAGGCGTTCTATACTTATGTGAGGAACAAGAAGATGGCCAGAGTGAGGGTAGGGCCGATCAGGGATAGTGGAGAGAACTTGTGCGTGGAGTCGGAGGAGGTAGGGGAGGTCCTTAATGAATACTTTGCTTCAGTATTCACCAGTGAGAGGGACCTTGATGTTTGTGAGGACAGCATGAAACAGGCTGATATGCTCGAACAGGTTGATGTTAGGAAGGAGGATGTGCTAGAAATTTTGAAAAACATGAGGATAGATAAGTCCCCTGGGTCAGACGGGATATACCCAAGGTTACTACGGGAAGCAAGGAAAGAGATTGCTGCCCCTTTGGCAATGATCTTTGCATCCTCACTGTCCACTGGTGTAGTACCAGATGATTGGAGGGTGGCAAATGTCATTGCCTTGTTCAAGAAAGGGAATAGGGATAATCCTGGGAATTACAGACCAGTCAGTCTTTCTTCTGCGGTGGGCAAACTATTAGAGAGGATTCTGAGAGATAGTATTTATGATTATTTGGAAAAGCACAGTTTGATTAGAAATAGTCGGCATGGCTTTGAGAGGGGCAGGTCATGCCTCACAAGCCTTACTGAATTATTTGAAGATGTGACAAAACACATTGATGAAGGTAAAGCAGTGGGTGTGGTGTATATGGATTTTAGCAAGGCATTTGATAAGGTTCCACATGGTAGGCTCATTCAGAAAGTAAGGAGGCATGGGATTCAGGGAAATTTGGCTGTCTGGATACAAAACTGGCTGTCCAATAGAAGACAGAGGGTGGTAGTAGATGGAAAGTATTCAGCCTGGAGCTCAGTGACCAGTGATGTTCCGCAAAGATCTGTTCTGGGGCCTCTGCTCTTTGTGATCTTTATAAATGACTTGGATGAGGAAGTGGAAGGGTGGGTTAGTAAGTTTGCCAATGATATGAAGGTTGGTGGAGTTATGGGTAGCATGGAGGGCTGTTGTAGTTTGCAACGGGACATTGGCAGGATGCAGAGCTGGGCAAAGAAGTACCAGATGGAATTCAACCTGGAAAAGTGTGAAGTGATTTATATTGGAAGGTTGAATTTGAATGCAGAATACAGGGTTAATGGCAGGATTCTTGGCAGTGTGGAGGAACAGGGGGACTTGAAGTCCACGTCCATAGATCTTCAAAGTTGTTACCCAAATTGATAGGGTTGTTAAGAAGGCATATGATGTGTTGGCTTTCATCAGCAGTGGGATTGAGTTTAAAAGCTGCGACGTCACCCTGCAGCTCTATAAAACCCTGGTTAGACCACACAAAGAATATTGTGTTCAGTTCTGGTTGCCTCATTATAAGAAAGATGTGGAAGCTTTAGAGAGGGTGCAGAGGAGATTTACCAGGATTCTGCCTGGACTGGAGGGCAGGTCTTATGAGGAAAGGTTGAGGAAGCTAGAGCTTTTCTCATTGATGTGAAGAAGGATGAGAGGTGATTTGATAGAGGTTTACACGATGATGAGAGGCATAGATAGAGTGGATAGCCAGAGACTTTTTCCCAGGGTGGAAATGACTATTACGAGGGGGCAAAATTTTAAGGTGATTGGAGGAAGGTTTGGGGGAGATGTCAGAGGTAGGTTCTTTACACAGAGAGTGGTGGGTGCATGGAATGTGCTGCCGGCGGTGGTAGTGGAGTCCGATACATTAGGGACATTTAAGCAACTCTTGGATAGGCACATGGAGGATAGTAAAATGTAGGCTGTGCCGGGTAGTTTGATCTTAGAGTAGGATAATAGGTCGGCACATCATTGTGGGCGGAAGGGCCAGTACTGTGCTGTATTGTTCTATATTCATAAAAGCTATCCAGCACAGTGGGGAAATCTGACACCTCTGACAGCGCAGCATTTCCTCAGCATTGTCATGACCTATCTCTGAGATTTTGTGTCAATTTTCTAGATCGTGGATTGCTATCCACTGAGCTACAGCTGTCAAAGAATAAACAATGGTCCATCAGCAAAGACTAGATATTGCCACTGCTGCACAACTATTATAGTAGCACTTGAATTTTCTGGTTCCAATGGGTAGCCATTCCATGCAGACAGGAAATTAACAAAACTTAGTGAATACATTCACACCCAAACACCTAGTGCACAATTCCTGCTGATAAAATATTCTAGAAGAAGAATCTTTACTGTTGTCCTACATGTTCGATGGACAAGTAATTTCAGGAAGTACGTTCTTAAAATTAGCCTGCAGAACTTATCGCATCTTCCCATATCTCAGACTTCCATAGTTCTCAGTAATCAGAAACAAGTTTCTGGCATGAGATTACCTCTAATAGGGTGTTTTATCTGATATGGCAATGCCTGGATTACTTCCCATAACATTTGAAACTGGTCATGGATCGCGTGGTATGTAAGAATCAAGCTGACATTTTTTACAGCTAATTGTTATATACAAACATTACATTCCTCAGGTCTTAGCTAATATTAAGCGATTAGATTAGAACAGAAGAACATAATTCCAATCGTGTGTCATGCTTCAAGTGATCCAAGGTAAGATGGAGTATGAGTTATATACCCTTACATCACATGCTATGATGAGGTGATGATAACATGACCAAGTCTCTTGAAGTGTGCAGACGGGGAGGCAAAATATAACAAATACAAACCTCAATCCTTTGAACTGCATTACTCCTGAACCCTATGTATATGAACAAAATGGATTGTAGATAAAAACAGAAAGAATGTGTCTGGTGAGAATTCAGTTTGTACAGTTTATGCAAAGTAATAAGTTAGTAATTCACAGTTAAAATTAAAGCATCGCCCATTTAAGACAGAGATGAGGAAACACTTTTATCCTCTCAACAGGTTGTGGACTCAGAATCTTTAAGTATTTTTAAGGTAGAGATAGATAGATTCTTGATTACCAGGGAGATAAAAGATTAATGGGGATATGCAGGAATGTAGAGTTAAAGTTAAAATCAGACCACCCATTATCTTGTTGAATAACGGAGCAAGCTGTAAGGGCTGGGTGGCCTACTCTTGTTCCTTTCTGTGCATACCCACTCTTTAGCAGAAAGCTTCAAATTATCAGCACACTTTGTGGAAAAGCCTGCTCAACTGTCTAAAACAGATTATATACATACATACTTACAAGACTGAAATCTAGGCCTAAAACTCTGATAGTTTAGTGGGTTTGGGTATACTGTGGAACCAGAAGATGAACATTTTCTTAACAACAAAATGGAGCATAGAGACAGGAATGAACTATTCAGCCATCTCAGCTTCTTCTATCATTCAGCTGAATCGTAGCTGATGTTTATCTCTACTCCATTCACCAGCCTTAGTTCCTCAGTCCTTAACAGCCTATAAAACACTACCGATTTTACTTTTGAAATTTTCACCGATGTCTTCGGCATTCTTTGTCATTCATTATGCTAAAGGCAGGTTCTATGAAGTATTCCTCATTTATAAGGCACAATTCAGGAGTATGGTGGAATACTCGCTGCTTGCGTGGATGGCTGCAGCTCGAACAGCAATCAAGGAAGCATCCTGGTCAAAGCAGTCCACTTGACTGGAACTTCATCTGCCACCTGTAACATTCATCGACTCCACAACACCATACAATGGCAGCATTGTGCCTCACGGGTGCAGCAAATTGGCAAGGCTCCTTCAACAGCAACATCCAAGCCCTGACTGCTACCACCAAGAGGACAAGTTCACAGGGAGCACCAAGTCATCTATTGTTCCTTCACTGGGTCAAAATCTTTGAATTGTCTCCCTGAAAACATTGTGTGTATACATAAACCACATGGCCTAAAGTAGCTCAAAACGGTAGCTCACCATCAACTTCTCAAGGGCCACATGGATGGGCCGTAGCTGCCGGTCTAGCCAGGAATGCTCACATCCTGTGAAAAAATAAGGAAATTCACTTAACAACTTGAAAACAAATCAACAACCTGAAAGTTCCCATGTGCTGTTTCAAATGTCTCCACATCAGTTTGTTACTGAGGTCGTGGACAAAATATATAATCCACATGGTTCATTGCAAACCTCAGATATCAAAACTGTTCCTGGCTTTCTCAGTTTCAATTTTGCCCAACAGACATTTTGCTGTATATCACATTCCACAGATGTACTACCTCACCACATGCTTATTTCAAACATGGGAGCCAAGAACCAAAGGTCTCTAGTTCACTTAATCCTAGGAGACTTCAAAGCTCAGTCTCAGCACTGAATATTCACTTTGTCAGAGCATGAGCAGGCTGAACATTATCCCTAACTCTCCACCAATCACTGCTGAAGCAGAGAAAGCAAGTGTGATTAACTCTGGAAAGAATTAATTAACATAAGCAATCCTGATCTTAGCTGAACTGGTAGGGATTCTTGTCAGTCACAAACTGAACAGTGAAATAATGACCAAAAGACCATAAGCTA